CGTCCCCCAGAGAGGTCGGCGGCGGCATTCCGCGGAGGGTGCATCGCCGGGCGTGCAGCCGCGCAGAAGGAGACGGAGATCCGGCCGGAGGGAGAGAGAGAGAGAGAGAGAGAGAGAGAGAGAGAGAGAGAGAGAGAGAGAGAGAGAGAGAGAGAGAGAGAGAGGCGACGAGCAGAGTCGATGCCCACCTCTCTTTTCTTTTTCTTTCTCTCTTTCTTTCTCCCTGACCGTTTGGAATTATTTGAAATCGGCACGGCGGCCCCCGCCCCGCCCGCCTCACGCCCGGCGCTTCCTTCTTTAGCAGCAGCGTGCATAATGTTCCCGTGGGTGGAGTCCACCGCGGCGCGGTCAAGTCCGGCCGTCCCGTCCGCCGTCCGGCCAAAAAACCAAAACCGGGCCCGCTGCAGCGCGCCGGCCCCGGCGATTCGTTTTAATCTCGGTACGTGGCCGAAAACTCTCACCACCACCAAGCGACCCCTCGTTGCTGCAGATATTATCCGACCGAACTGCATAGCGAGAGAAATTGGCCCTCGAATCGTTGAGCGTTGAGCCTGATTTTCATTTGGAAAAGCAACACAGTGCTGACACACTCACACCCATTACTATTAGCCGGTATCAGCGGTATCAGGACAAAAGGCTTCCAAGACTTCATATCACTTAGACTCTTATATTGATTGACTTTTTGCTGTGGCTTATCTCAATTGACTTTTTCCTGTGTTACATCTTGATTGTGTCATTTGTCGCACAATCGATGTAGCGGTGTCGCTTAAAAGGATTCAGTTTCTGCTTGGTAGTTATCTCGTAAAGAATGGCAGGTTTTCAAGTCATTGTGTCTCTGCTACTCCTGGCAGCGCTCAGCGTTGCAGCTGACGACGGTAACAAGTCATTTTCAACTCAACTTGATTCACTCAAGTTTCTATAAATTCTGTGTATAATTTTGTAATCGGGTGCAAATCGGCGGAATTTTGAGACCTCGGATTTAACAGGTCTTTTCCTTGTATTTTTTGCCCGATAGATTCAAGCCCTCTTTCGACAAACTTGAATCACCTGAGTTCTTAAATATTTATGTGATTAATTTTCAGTATCTTAGTATCACGCGTAATTAAAAGCTGCGAAACGGAAGAACTTGAAAGAGGGCTTGACTATCAGGCAGGAGATGAGCATAGTATATGGAACCTGTAAAAGCCGGGGTTAAATCAGTCAGACAAAATGCCTCCGATTTGCACCTGATTTAAGATTTCAATTATTTGTTCCCGTAGAAGAGAAGGGTCCTTTGAGTTGGGAACCGGTTACTCGGGGAGAGGACCCTCCTGATAACGCCATCATCGGAGGCTTCCGGAGGGTTGCGGGTAAAGACCAGCCGGACTACGTGGGGCGAGTCTGGCGTGCTTCGGCCATCATCCCTGGGGGCGTCTCAAAGTACGACGGGAAACACTACGCCTCCGCCACCCTACGGGGAACTTCATACGTAAATTTAGATACGTACGAGGTAAGTGCGCGCGCTCGACGAAAACACTTCATCAAAGTAGTTTGAATTTTTGCGCTCTAGCGACTACAAATGTGAGGTGATAGCATGGCAGCTGTCTCAAATAGACGTCAGACGTCTATTTACTGCATTCGTTTGTATCCAAATTAGATGACAAGTCATTTTTCAGTGATGAACTTTTGTTTTTCGTAGGTAGCAGTCGATCACTCGTCCCGGATTCGCTGGGTCCCGGCCGCTTTAGGGGCTGTACCGACGGGGGCGGTGCCGTCGGGGGTCACCGCTGACGGTCAGCCTCTGTATGTCTGCCGGGTGATGGACACCGACCTCAGTGTTCACAAAGATCAGTTTATGCTGAGAGTGGGAGTGGTAAGTACGCTTTGCTTCAACGACGTGATCTCAAGACATATGGTGTTGATTGAGATTACATCTCATTTCGCTTGCAGCTGGACACCGAGTCAAAGAAGTGTCACATGGATTTCCACGGACCTCAAGCTTTCCCCACGTACGAAGTACTTGTCAGCGATGACTAGATGATCACGTCCGTAATTCGACCGATACGAACCCGCTAGGGACAGCCTAGGGAGCTCTCATAGCGCCTGACAGGTAGGCAACATCTTGCCACTGGAGCATGCGTGTACTGCGGGGTAGCCTACCCCGAGTCTCACAGGCGCCGATATAAATAAATATGAGGAAAACGCACGTACTTTCTGGTTAATGTCAAATCTCGGCGCTTAAAACTGTTTTAAAAACACAAACACAAAATGTGATGTAAATTAGTATTACGTAATAAACGATGAAGAAAAAAAGTCCTTAGACCTGGACACGTTTTATCGAAACATCGAACCCCAACCACACACCCCAAAACCCTATCTCGTTCGTTTCTTTGCTCGACAAGCCAGTACCTTGGAAGCCTACCACCACCACCACACCCCTTTCCCCTTTCTCCAAATAAGCTGACCTCTAAACCGGCGTTTCCCCGAAGCCGAACTCCAACCCTGCTTTCCCACCTTCCTCGCTTCGCACACTCCTTGACCCTCCCCCCCCCCTCTCTCTCTCTCTCTCTCTGCGCGTCGTCGACCCGCTGTAGCCTGGCAGAGGCCCACGCTCCTCTCCTCCAGCGAATCCGTGGCGACAAATCGCCATGCAGAATCTGTTCCGGTCCGAGCCGGGACGCGCTGGGCTATCAGCTGCAGGGCCGCGCTCTGCCGCAGCTGCGGAGGCTTGTTCGTTCCCGTTCCAAATCACATGCCATCTGCCGGCGCGACCACTTGTGACCGACAGGCCCGCCCACCGGCAGACGACGCGACAGATCACTGACACCAGACAGGTGCCAGCTGGCCGCGAAATGAGCGTCTGCGCCTGCCGCGGGCCGCGAGCAGGGTCCGTTACAGAGGCGCGCCTATCGGCCTAGACGAGCAGGGGCGAGCGGGACGCGCTGACTCAGAGCGCGTGCCGGGCGAGTGCCAAAAGTCTGGTCAGCGCGGGCGTCCGCGCGGGGTCCACCGGGCGAAGCCGACTGACCCGCTGGGAGCGAGGCCAGCAGCGGCCGGCGGGGGCCTTCTGGGGCAGCGCGACGACGCCGACCTGGGCCACCTGTGCGGCGAGGCGCTCGAAAAGGGGGAAACGACTTAGAGATGTCCTGTAGAACGGATTAGCCTTTGGATGACCCCCGGATTACCTCTGTCCGACTCCTGGACTACCCCTCGATTCGCCTAGATTACCCCGGATCACCCACGCGGCTGTATTCCTAGCTCACCCCCGGGCCGTGTCTATTTCACGAACCCCTCGAGACGCTCCTCAAGGACGCAAGTGTGTGACATCTCGCACCACAATAAATGCAAAAAGAGCCCCTTCCAGCTGCCAATAAACACCTGCTACTGGAGAGCCTCTCTGGAACCCAGTCCTGGCGCCTGGCACCCTGTAGAGCAGCCCACCGCTCTCCCCCCTATTTATTCCTCCCAATTCAACTCATCCTCTCTGTCTTTTGCTTTCTCTGGCGCGGTCCAGGCGTCCCGGCTGCTGGGGCGGAGCGGCGAGACCCCCGCGGGGCGCTGCACCGGGCTGCCTGGCCGATTAGAGGCGAGATAAATAGGTGGCGTTAATGCCCTTGTCGTTCAGAGAGAGAGAGAGAGAGAGAGAGAGAGAGAGAGAGAGAGAGAGAGAGAGA